GTCAAACGTCGGTAAAAATATTTGAAAAAAACATACCAATATATACGTATATATATATTAGCGTGGATCAACAAAACTGCTGTTTTTGTGCTTAGTACACTGAAAAATTTCATGAGAGACACCTCTAAAAAGGCTCTCCAAGTATGAGCTCTTAATTGTAACGGAAAGGTCCTCCGACTAACGTTTTGCATTTTTCTCTTATTATAATATAGTAAATTCATATCTCGCTTACAACTGCTTCAAAACATATTTCGTTTCGCGGATTTTGTAGGACATCGAATGCTCTACAAAATGGTCTCTTATGGGTTTTTCGTAAACTTCACCGTTTAAAAGATAACAGTTGAATTTTGACTATGTTAAGGCAAATTTGTTTTTTTTCTTTTCAACTTTATAACTCAACGAAAAAAATTGTTTTAAATTTAAAAAGTGCTGAACCGATATGTGCAAAACAATTATTCGAAGTAGATTTGCTGTGAAGGGATAATAAGGTTTTTATAATTTCTTACTCTCCACACAGTGTACAATGGATGAAAGGAAAAATTGATGTAATCCAAATATTTCAGGACCCTTTAGTGTTGACATTATAAGAATTAGATATTTTCAGTTAAGCATTGGAAAAGCTATCGGAAGTAAATTGTGATTGGTAAATTTTTTGAATGCAAGCGTATATAATATAATTAAGGTATCAGTAGACTTATTGGGACCAAGGCCAACTAAGTCTAGTAATGAATTCTCTATATAATTACTGTAAATATATGTTAGTCAATTTAGAAAAGATGGAATAATAGTTTCTGTCTCATTACACCCTAGTTCTGGGGAAAGCCTAAATATGTTAGAGTTGTCACAAAGAAGGCGAGGTAGAATCATCTCGGGACTTCTCCAGCGTCCAGTTTTCACTAGATTACAGCTCATATATCTCGGATCTGATATCTTCAGTCATCCGCACGAACTAGCTGGCATTGAAATTAGTCGCTTCAACAGATTTGTGATAGACGCAAGGCGATTGTAAATATTTTTTAATCCATATTTGGTATGACAAGCCGTTTGTTTGTTGTTTTGTTCTAATTGTAAATCCTATGATATAATTTTTCAGTTGAAGGTAGAAGCTCAAGGCTTGTAAATATGATTTTTTCTACGTACCATTCATAAATTAGTCCTATAAGACTTAGTAGTCTAATTGTATTTAGCATACGTTCTCTACTTTTGAGAAGCATGTGTCTATTTATACTATGAATACGCGTATACTCGTACATATTTGGATTCTATTTTCAGTAAATAATTTAAGCTGCCCAATTTGTCTTCGAAAATACTCACATGATTCTCAAATACAATGCCGAATAAGCCGAATAATAACAATAGGACTCAATTGCTTTGCGGTTTAGACTCTTGAAGCTACATTATAATCATAGGCTTATTAAACTAACTATAGAATAATCAAGCGATAGCAAAGCACTCATGCAAACCAACTAAGTAAGTTAGTACCGTAAGCCGTTGACCGTATAGCTATAGCCAAATGCGGTATGAAATTACAGGAGTGTGTGTTGCGGCACAAACAATTGAAAATAGTCTGACCAGTTGCCATCATGAACAAGTTCATAACAATTCTAAGGCTGGCTAGTACACTTATATTATATTTACACTTAAATTTGCATATGTATGCGTAAGTATTTATAAACATTTGCGCTAAGCTGACAAAGGAGCTGTGTATATATATACATAGGTATATGTATAATAGGGTGGGTCGAAAAAAGCTATTATATATCTATAGGTATATGTACACTAGGGTGGTTCGAAAAAAATCTCTTAGTTTTTTTAATTTACGGTACGAAAAATTGGTTGGTGGACATATCAAAAAAACGCTGCCCAAGTATGAGCTCTTCATATTAAAAGAATGCTGTTCAGTTTCCAATTTTTCTTGACCCTAACATATACATACATACTTTGTATTAAGCTGTAGTGTGTGCGTATGTTGCTGCTGACAATCAAATGAGATTTCATGACAATAATATCCTTTAGTTATTTTAGGCTATCCACTTACTTATATACTATACATATATATATATATTTGGTTCTATATCTGTATGCCACTTATATGAGAGGAATATGTGCACTTTTATATGTGCTTAAGTGCTTATTGTCGTAGCTTAAGTGGGCAGGCGGTCGGTCGATTACAAGTGTTGTTGTGCTTGCAAAAATATTCTATATATACAGACATATGTATATAAGTAAATATACTTTTGTAAATATACCTTCACATTCCTATTTGGTACAATTTCCGAATTTAGGTTTGTTAGCTGCTGTGGTCACTTTAGATTTGCTTTGAGTAGGTTCACAAACTTGCTTACTCACAACTATATTTTGCTAGAGTTTGTTGTGGCAATTGCGAAAGTTGTATGTATTGGAGGGATTTTGTGTAAGCGGCATATAAGATAAAGCTATGAAGACCACTACTACTACAATGTATTTTTAGAATATTTTTGTGTACTTAAATTAAATTTAGCTCTAGTTCCAATATTTGTATTAGCTGCTGTGTGTTATAAAGCTTGATTGCTTGCTCTCTTAATATGCGAGTATAAATACAATGATTATAAACAATAATTACAGAAAGTTGGCAATTTAGTCAAAGCACTTGCTTAAACTTTATTTAAATACTTATCAACAGCATTATACTTCTCTAGTAACTTCTGTACTCATTGTTTGCACACCATAACCTCTCGCACTCTCTGTTCCAACGGCACACAGAACTACTTGAATTTTATTCATCCAAGAATATTAAACTCAATAGCATTCTTCAAAATTATTTGGGATAGATTTTTTGCTATTGGAACAACAACAAAACAAACAAATTTTTTTTCTCCCTCGTATATACATATGCCTAACGAACGTAATATCTCTTGACGAATCAAACACCGAACGAACGAATACACGCAGGTTTTCATCCAACCAAGAATTTTAAAATCGGCACCATTTTTCAAAAGTATTTGCCGAAAATTTTTTACCATTACAACAACAATAAAAATAGTTTTAACTGACAAACAAAACAGCAGTTCCTACAAATTGCCCAAAATCCGTCAGGGGTTGCTTGAAGCAACAGATCACCTTAGATCAAAGAAAATCACCAATACAAAGTGTACCTCAAAAACTTACTTTAACTTTAAGAAAGCGGTAAATCGGTATCATATCATGACTGGTGCCATCACTGGGCCATCACTTATTGCTGGGATAGCACATTTACATGGTAAAACGGATTTGGAACAATGAAGGGCATGAGTGACTCATGCAATATTAAAGTGTCCAAACCTCAGACGTATGAAAACAAATATCTTCCTCGAAAGAGTTATCCACCACATTATTGCTTTGTGCTATGGTGGGAGCAGAGGTTAAGCCTTCTTATTGGTCACACTCCCTTTTTCAACCAACTAACTAAGCAAGAAATAGTGTGTTGCAGCTATTTATGATCTAAGTTGCCGTAAATTGCAGTAAAATTGTTAAAAAGTCTACAAAATGTTGTGACAATTTAGCCATGTCCGGCTACTCACTTGTCGGACCACTTTAAGATATAGCTACGGTACAAACTCAACGATCAAAATCAAGTTCTCGTAAGGAAACTTTTTTAATTGACAAGATATCTTAACGAAATTCTGTATAGATTATTATCAAAGGCAACGCTATTATTTGTGCACGTATTGTTCAGATATGACCACTGTAGCATATAGCTGCCAACAAACTGAACGATCAAATACATGTCTTTCTATGGAAAACTTTTTTGTTTGAGAAATCATCCACACGAAATTCGGCATAGTTTATTATCCAAAGTAACACTTTAATCTCCGAACGTATTGTTAAGATCGGACAACTATAGCATAAAGCTGCCATAGAAATTGTCCGATAAAAATCAAAATAAATATTTTTATATCATTTTATGCTATAAGAAATGCAACTGTGAAGGATATTATAGCTTTGGTTTAGCCAAAGTTAAACTTTTTTTGTTTTTATATTTAATCATTACGACAATACCATATATCACGATTAATTGCTCTCTGAGGCTTAAAGCTACATATGTATGTATATTTGTATGTGTGTAAATGGTGAACAGTGCGATATTCTGCCCATTTAGGCCATTTGCAATATAATTGAAAATAAATATTTTTAAAATCTATTAAAAGATAACGGCTATGTATAAAAAAATAAATAAAAAATAAATAAATAACTGTAAATATACATAAATTGTGAAAAAAATTTGTTTTACTGTTATTTTTATTTGCCGTATAACTTAAATTTGGTTCATTATTTTGTAACACAGAAATATATTTGTGACTCAATTTTCGCATATATTTACATTTGATCGGTATTCATGATTTTGCAAACAATTTCGTATCAATATGTGTTTACACACTATTTGTATGATTCGCATGCGATATATTTTATATTTACGAGTTTTTTTTTTCAATATTTATTTCAATTCGACCTTGAATTCTTTGCACTTCGCTACTTTTTATCACTTTGACAGTCGTTGCTGGGCTATTTTGATTGGATTGGCTATTTATAGCGGTGAGACTAATAAATGCATGCATATACAATTTTATTTTTGAGCGAATAAATGCTTTTTGCTTGAGTTGATATGTTTATTTTTATTTATTATTTATTAAAATTTTTTTTTGTATTTTTTAATATTTTTTTTTAAATTAAAATAATTTTTTTTTAATTATTGTTTGTTATTTGGCTTGCATATCTTCTCAAGTTTGCGTATTCTGCTTATATTTAGACTTTGTAGGAATTTTTATATTTTTAAAGTATTCATTTTATAATCCGTTCACGCCAATATGTAAGAGTATGCCGTAGAATCCGTTTAAAAATTAAATATGCTTTATTTCATTATCTCTTTAAATGCATTAAAAATCATTATTGCAATTACATTAAATACATCAACTATTCCTTATACTGAGCACATTTACTCTTTAATGGCTTATTTTCTTACTACTTATTTTTCAACCACTCACCTTAACGAAATGATAGAAGAGCACCGCTCCGACAGTGGAGAGTGCAAACCAAACGAATACCGCAAACGTGGAGACATGCGAAATATCCAATGCGTGCAACAATGTTGAGATAATCAATGCGGCAGCATGGCAGAACAGGAATGGCAACAATAGACGCTCCAGAATGTCCCATGGAATTTCGGCAGACTTTTGTGGCAGCACTGAAATGGAGCCGCGGCGCAGAGAAGCGCGTCGTGATGCACGGCGCTGTGTGTGTGTATAGAAAACAAAAGAATTGTTGAGAATATAATAAACAAATTGTCATAATAAAAATAGTTAATAAATGAGTTGGTGAGAAGAAGAAAATATACAAATTAAGACATAAATATAGTATACAGGCAAAACTCGAATACAGGAGTTCTATTATTTATGATTGCACAAAGGGCTGCATATGGTAGTGCTAGTAAGAACCCTAGATTAGCTATCGAACTTAATCTAACCTAACTGCCAAGAGTCACGGCTTAGCTTAAGTTTATAATATATTGTGAGGCCAAGATCGTCTAAATAGCATATCAGTACTAGGTTATACACCACACACTGTTATTTAGATCTCTTGGTTAAATATATTTATTTTCTTAAAAAATTTTTATAATCTTACTAAAGTACTCACAAGCTTAGAAGCCTAAAAATCCTAGGTCGTAACAAGTAAAGCAATATTTGATGAAAAAAAGTATACTAAGTTATCAATTCCGATGTAAACAAAAAAAAAATCGTACAACTTTTAAAGCCATTTTTTGTGCCGCTTAATTTCCGGCAATTAAATTTTGACTATTATTTACTAAATAAGTTAAACAGGTAAAAAATAGATATGCATGTGCAAATATTTAAATGAAATAATAATTTATTTTTTTTGTGTTTACATATTTTATTATACGAGGAACTAAAAAAAATTCCGACAGTTTTTGGCGCAATTAAAAATTAATCCTTCGCCACCGAGTCTAAACCACATTGTATGCATTCATATTATCAGTTATAAAAATACTTACACAAATATATGGAAATTTATTTACCAATATACCGTTGTGTTAGGTTTAGCGTATATTTAGGCTGTGTAAAACGATAAAATCAGTCAACACTACGTAAATGGCTGCCATTAAAAACCTTAATGTTTATATAGCTATGCAGTTTTAATGTACATTTTGTGTGTGTTTAGCGAAATACTCGTCTAGCGAATTTTACTCTAACCATAAAACCAAATAATGTTTGTTTACATTTTTTTTTATTGCCTTTAATTAAAGTAATTAGTTAACAATTGAGCATTAACAACAACATAATATCATTTTAGGCATGTCCAATTTCAAAAATCTAACAAAATATCGATTTGGAATGGCAATTAAATACAGAAAGGCTAAAATCCACCAAAAGCGCAGTACTGCATATCGGGTTGCAGAGCCTCGCTATACTGTTGTAGATTAGGTCTTGTATTAACGGGTTAGGGGGAGTCAGAATTTTCAAACAAATTTTGAAAATTTTTACATTTTGCAACAACAATACATTTTGCAATACATTACAATATTATACTTTAATTTTAGAAAATTCTCTGAAAATTTGAAATAAGCCCGACAAATACTTTTTGAGTTATTCAGTAATTAGCCAAGTGCTCTCTTGCGCTCTGGAACGTTCGTGTAAAACTTCAACTACGTTTTTTTCAAAATTATGTTTTATGAACTGGTGACTGGTTTCAATAAAATTTATACAGATTTTTTATGAAGACAAGGAAAGCTGATGCCCGTTTGCCCCCGCACTAATATCTTAGTTTTTGAGATATCGATAAAAAAAATTTGGCACACGTCTTTTTCTCCCCAAAAAGTTACTGATATCTCGGAACAGCCGATATCGGACCACTACAGGATAAAGCTGGCATACTGTCTGAACGATCGGCATAAGGTGCTTATATGGAAAGCTTTTACATTTGACGAGATATCTTCAAGAAATTCAGCGTGAATTATTGTCCAAAGAATCAGTGCAAACTTCGAAAAAATGGTTTAGAATGTACCATTATGGCAACTAGCTGCCATACAAACTGTTCGATCCAAATCAAGTACTTGCATGGAAAACTTTTTATTTGACTAGATATCTTCACGCAATTGGATATGAATTATTATCCAAGGAAAGACAATGCTGTGTAATATTCGTTTTTTTGTTTCTCTTCATATGAAAAAACTCGTAAATGCAAAATTCAAATTAACACATTACTCTTACCCACCAATTGAGGAAAAAAACAAAATTAAACAATAATAATAATAATAATAATAAAAGCGGTATTTCCTCATGGCTAGCTATCAAAACAGTTTATTTAACTTGACCAATACGATAGTGTGTTTTTTTAGTTTCGCAATAAAAGCGAGCCAAATAAATTGCTTACGCTCGATAGCGATCAAGCGCAAATGATTATTAAATTTGTTATAGCAAAAAAGTTTTGTTTACTAAAGTGAAAATGTTTATGGAAAAACATTTTTTTTTTCTCGGCAAAAGCACTCGTTAACCCCCAAATGTTTTTGTGGGTGCTGAAACAACTTTATTTCGTGCCATTTAAAATGCACACATGCAAGCAAATGTATATGTGTATGTATATAAATATGTTTGTGCGAATGTCGGTATGTACATATTTTGAAGTTTTAATTACACGTGCATATATATTTTTTTCTTTTTTCATTCAATTAAATTTGTTTATCGTCTGTCCATCATTTGCACTCGTTTTGTCGATTAAAGCTGAAAACGTTTTGACATATTGCCCCAACTGCTAATGACTTGAGTTTTTATGGATTTCAAGCGAAATGGTTTTATGTGTGTGGGTGTATTTGTGTATCCTTTGAATAGTGCCACTATCAAATGTCGAGAGTTTTCCTCAATACGTGTATATTCTTACAATACTTCGGAGATGGAATAAAATAAAAAAAGATACGTCAAATGATGAAGATAATTATTTTTTATATGTTAACTTTAACTGCACTGAAACTGTAATACCTCTCACAGGTGTATTCTTGTAGCATGAAAGGGTTAGAAAGCTCTTTATCTTGATTTTATCGTTCAGTTTGCATGACAGCTGTATGCTATAGCGGTCCGATCTGAACAATATTTTCAGAGATTGTAGCATTAAATAGGAAATTGTTCTTGCCAAATTTTATGTAAATATCTTGTCAAATAAAAGAGTTTGCCATACAAGAATATGACAGGACAGGACAAAAATCCTTGCCAAATAAATTTCTTCTAGATGTCTCGTCAAATAAAATTTTTTTCCATACAAGGACTTGATATTGATCGATCAGTTTGCATGGCATACTATATTCTATAATGATTGATATCGGTGAATCCAACAAATAAGCAGCTTCTTGAGAAGAAGAGGACTGGAAACTGAGGGAATAGTTTGTGTTTATGCAGACATATAGAGCGTTGGGCATGACTAAATCGACTCGGTTCGTCACGCTGATAATTTTTATATACTCAAACTTTCATTTCTCTAATAATTTTGAGCGTTCATCGAATCTGGAAACTGGAAACATACGTGTATGGTTTTAATACTTCGAGATACCGCAATGTTTGAGAAGAGATTTTAACTTCACATAATTTGTGCGGTTGTTCATTTGTATCATTTCTTAATGCGACGGCAGATTGGTAGTTCAATTTCGATGAAACTTATAGCCAGCAGGTGGCTCATATACCGCATGCTGACTATATATGTATATATGGGCAAGAAATGGAAACTAAAATTGCAAAAGCTGGTTACGTTAGGTAGCGGCAGAGTCCAATATGGTAAATATCAATTCAAGTATTTGTTGTATATATTGGACTATACATCCGCTGTGAATTAACGTGTAATACGCATGAAAATTAAATGGTTTAGAAATATTGTATAATGTCCAAATTTTTTTAAAATTCTTTTATAGTAATAACGTTTGAGCATAGCTTCACCCATTTATTTCTTTAGTAGAAATTCCTTATTATTTTATTGTTCTCGGTTTTTTCTCATCTCCCTTGGCACGCATTTATTTTTAGCTACAGTTGCATTTTCAGCATAAAATCTGTCTTTGTGTCGTGCGATATAGAGTATTTCTATGTTTGTGTCTTTTTATATAGAGACGTATGTATGTATTTGGATATGACTAATGTGAACTTATTTATATTTGCTTCAGTACTCTTACTTGGGCTATTTCTGTGTAAATCTATAAAACTATATATGTATAGCATTAGTCTATATGTTTGCACATATATATATATATATATACAAACGTAAAAAAAATACATATAAGGTTGGAAGGTATCTCCCTTCCGCTTTTTTGTTTTTCATGCAATGCTTTATAAAAAGTTACAGTGATCGGATTTAGTTAAAATATGCGCTGTTTTGTTCGATGATCTGTTTCCATCTAGACGGTAACTTTATAATATCTTCCTCGTAGAAGCCCCCCTCCTTATTTGCGAAGAATTCGGACAGCCACTTTTCACAAGCCTCTTTTGAGTTCAACTTCACACCACCAAGGGCATTCGCCATGGACAGGAACAGGTGGTAATCACTTGGCGCTACGTCCGGGCTATATGGTGGATGCGATAAAACCTCCCATCCGTGCTCCCGTAGCTTCTGACGAGTCATCAACGAAGTGTGTGGTCTGGCGTTGTCCTGGTGGAACACTACACCCTTCCTGTTGGCCAATTCTGGACGCTTCTGGTCGATCGCCTGCTTCAAGCGGTCCAGTTGTTCGCAGTAGATGGTAGAATTAAGCGTCTGGCCATATGGGAGCAGCTCACAGTGGATGATTCCCTTCCAATCCCACCAAACACACAGCAAAACCTTCCTGGCCGTCAATCCCGGCTTGGCCACTGTTTGGGACGATTCACCGGCCTTCGACCACGACCGTTTTCGCTTGATATTGTCGTATGTGATTCATTTTTCGTCGCCAGTCACCATCCGCTTCAAGAATGGGACGTGTTCGTTCCGTTTCAGCAGCATATCGCAGGCGTTGATTTGGTCCAGAAGGTTTTTTTGCGTCAAATTATGTGGCACCCAAACATCAAACTTTTTTTTTGTATCCAGCCTTCTGCAGATGGTTCAAAATGGTTTGGTGACTAACTCCCATCTCCTGGGCGATGTCACGAGATGCCATATGCCGGTCTAACTCGATGTATTCCATGATTCGATCGGTATTTGTCGTCACAGGTCTTCCGCCGGCTGGCTTATCCATGGTGTCGTTTTCACCGGCTCTGAATCGTCG